CCTGAAACACTAGCATATGGTTTGCTGTGGCGAAACTAAACACTTCAATGATTGTTGTGCTAGTTTATTTATCTGTTTGTCTTACTTCACACATAAAATGGAGAAGGGGAATTTGCTAGTTTATTTATCTGTTTGTCTTACTTCACACATAAAATGGAGAAGGGGAATTTCCATGCAAAGGAACCAAATTTCCCTCCTATCATTTGAAGTATCCAATTTCCCCCTCTGCCTCCCATTAGACACAAAGCAGAAAAAGCAGTAAAGGGAAAGAGAGAGTTTTCATCTCCATTAACTCACTTATAGTCTTAGCTGTAAAAATCAGTCGATATACAGTATCTCGCTCTTCAGAAGCCAAGCGAACATGGGAACCACAAATATGCTTTCCTCCACCATGTCTGTTTTGGCATCCGTCTCTCCCCAAAGGATTCCCACAAAAGACGTTCTCTTGTCAAAATCTAACTGACAGCTTAGCAATAAAAGGAACTGGCAAAGAATACCTAGCTAAATCCCTTGGCAGTCCCTTATTATAGAGTGCTTTCTAAAATGGAAAAGAGAAAAATTCCAAGGAAATCACGTCACCTTTTAAAAGATCTGCATATACACATACTGCACGAGCACACAGATGTAGCATATGTTTCTCCTGGCTTTGAATCTTGACATGCTTTATACAACTGCTGTTTTATTACAGATAGCTGCAGTAGTTTCTTGTCTTTCATGATCCAGCAGTAGTTACTTTTTCAATAGTAAAGTACTATGACAGCTATTGTTAAAAATAAATCGTGGGTATTTTATTGTTCCTGGGAAAGCACACGACTATTCCATCAGATAAATAATCTGGTTTATCCAACAGCCTGAGGAAGGTCGTGAAAACAGCAACAGACCCACATTTTTTTTAACCCTCCCTACCCTAAAGCGATATTCCGGGAAGATTGTTTCTAAACCTTGAAGTTCCTGAAAGAATACTTCTAACATTCATACCTGAACCAAGAAATTTCTGAGATGGGAATGATTCCTTGTGTAATGAAGAACAAAAGGCATCTTCTTCCATCGCAATAATCAGTTGAGTTAGGGAATACTTTAGATTGTTTGGTAAAATGCAAAGAGGCTTTCAGATTTTGTTTAAAAGTTTGGCATTATTTATGATTTGCAATATTATACACACAGTTTAAAAGAGCAACTGCTTTCCTGAAAGATTTACCAAATGTTACTTTTCAAAATTAGCCCTTTTCTGTATTTTTAGCAATGAGAAAAGTTTTTCCTTTTGGTGGATAGAATTCTCCCAGCTGTGCCATTTCGTGAGAGGTTGCAAAAGGCTACAACTCCATTGTGAGAAAGTCTCTGTTGGAATTCAGTTCTTTTAACTTAGTACGTCTTGATAAGGAACCTTGCAACTTTTCTAGGCATTTGGGAAATAGAACAATAGCCATTTTTAAAGAGTCTTTTATTTATTTCAAAAGTATTATATGGCCACCCATCCTGAGCAGCCAACAGCAACCTAACTAATACAGATAAACTACACAATACAAGCATAAACACCCCAAATTAAATCCCATCACACTATCCAAGGCACCATAACAACCTCACATTGGCTGCATATACGCTGGCTTCAATTCATATCCTGGCCTATTCTCTGAGTGAAGAAACAGGTCTTTCTGAGAGGACAAAAATATAAGAGCCCTCCAAATTTCAGCAGGGAAGCTGTTTCACCACTGCCACTACAGTCATATGGTACCTTTCATGTGGACGAGATACTTTGCACATTAGAATAGTTTATCACTGTTGAAGTGCTGCTCTTTTGAAATCAGCTAGTTCTATATAAGAGTTAATGTAGACCTACAGTATTTTGTTCAATAATGCCAGTTCTTTCTTTCTATGTTCACCACTAACATTCAGAACGGGACTTGTTCCATAATAATCATGCAGTGTTACTCAGCTGCTTTCAGCCTGCCTTAATGTTCTTTATTATTTCTAATTGAGTGCTACTAAAGAATTACTATTCTTATTGTATTTATTTTATTAATCTTCCATTACATTTTTAATGCAGTCCAATTTTATATTATTCATCTTTAATCCTGGACAGGGTCGCACTGCCCCCTTCCAAACTGGTCTGTGTAGATCCCCCAAATTGTGCACCAGTTTGGAAGGGGGCAGTGCAATCCTGTCCAGGATTAAAGATGAATAATCCCCATCTCTGTGGGGTCCAAAACCCAATTACAACTAGATTTTGTCAGGGATGTGCTTGAATTCTGTCCCTTCCAGCAATCTCCACCATTGCCTAGGTACTCTGGAATCAAGATGTACTGTTAAGTATCCTCCATATATTGATTATATATGACTACAAATCAATGAATGTCCTCACCTGATGGTAAATCTTAAACAGAAGAGGAGAGAATTATCCCACACGCTAGAGGCTTTGGACTTGATTTCTTCCCTCCTGTCAAACCAACTGAACCCAACCATAGAGATAGTAAGTGAAAGACTGCAACATTGTGTCTTCATTCCTAAACTGTGTGGGTAGACCAGGAGGATGCCATGTCTAGTGTTGTTGAAAACATCAAAGAAATTATTGTTGCACTCTTCCTGTTCTGTCCCTATCAAAAGTAGTTATTAACAGGAGCAACCTGAGCTTCTCAGTATTATATCCAAGCCTGAAATCTGACAAGAAGGGGTTCACATAAATCTGTTTCTGTCATATTCTTCTTTAACCTGATAGAACCTAATCACCTTTTCAACCTTAAAAGGAAAGTTGGAAATGGGATAAAAATTATCCAGTACAACTTTGTTTCAGCAAAGCCTGTTGAGTGGACCCAACACCCCTTTCTCATGTCACCTTCTGGATAGCCTTAAGCAGTCAGGAGGGTCATGAATATAATAAACATGTAGTCATATTAACCAATCCAAGGATCCTGTTCACCACTTCAGGAGTTATAGGCTCAAACTCATCTCAGCTACTCACATAAGACCTTGCTTCCATCATTCATTAGGACTCGCAAAGTTATAGTTCAGCTTCAAGGGAATCCTTATAATTTTATTTGCCACTATTCTTCACAGTGACTCTGCAAATGGTCATGTAATTAATTCTTCCCTAGTAGGGCATGAATCATATTGATTGATTGATTTGATTTGATTTGTCAATCACTTACAAGATAATAGATATATGTATAAACATGGGTAAGAATGCAGGAAATAGATACCAATAAATGGGGACAATAGGACAGGGACGGTAGGCACGATGGTACACTTATGCACTCCCCTTACAGACCTCTTAGGAATGGGGTGAGGTCAATAGTGGTTAGTTTGAGGTTAAAGGAGTGGGGGTTAGAGGATGTAACAACAGAATCAGATAGTACATTCCAGGCCACTCTGTTGCTAAAGTTGTACTTTCTGCAATCAAGTTTACCTTACATTGAGTTTGTATCTGCTGTGTGCTCTTGTATTGTTGTGGTTGAAGCTGAAGTAGTAATTGATTGGTAGGACATTGTAGCAGATAATTTTGTGTGCTACACTTAAGTCTAACCATAGGCGGCATATTTTTAAAAAGGGAATCTGGATGACTAGAGTTGAAAAATAATGTTGTGCTACTCTTATTACCACAGTGTGATTTCTCATATGAGATTCTATTTGTGCTCTGCTTTGCTCTTCATCTTCCTCCAACAGAGTTCTAGGCATCTCTCCAGGATCAGCAAACAATAAGAAGCCATGGGGCAACAATTCAGCCAAAGGCCCCAATTACAGACAATGATCAAAGACTCAGCTAAAATACTCATCAGATCCTTAGGAAAAAAAATATCCAAACTTCTTCTGAAAGCCAGCAGAGTTTATTGTCTGTGGCAGATTAATCTATTAGGTCCTATTTTCCTTCTAGAGGAGGTAGCACCAGTAGGCTAAATAACAAATTAAGGAGTTATCTGACCATGGCAAAAGATCAACTGTAACATCCTCAAAAGCCAAATGCACGTTGCCCTGAAATAAAAACCAGATTTAGTGTGTGACATGTGGGTGGTTCCATGGTTACCATGGTATATGTCAACTCCTGAGCTCACCCAGCCTCAGCCTCACCTAGGATGAGATTGAAGTCCCCAAGAACAACAAGCCTTGGGGTTCCATACCGACCTGGGGTGAAATCTGTCAGTTCAGGCAGGGACATTACTACACCAGCAGGGAAGCTAAGAGCAACAATTCCAAGTGCTCCCTGCAGCTGAGCTTCAGCCAGAGAATCTCACATTCAAATACCTGCAAAACAGCACCTCTAAAAGTCCATGAGACCTCCTTAATGACAACAGCCATTCCATCCTCTCCCTGGAAGCACAGCTAGTATTAGACTCAAAACCCAGATGGACATAAGTGTGAGCAGGGCAATCTCCCTCCAAGCTTACCCAGGTCTCAACTGACAAACTTTTAAAAAAAAATAAATTAAAAATAAAACCAATAAATAAAAATAATAAATGCATCAGTTAAGAAGAAAACAAAAAACTCAAAGGGCAGACTTGATGGACCATGATGTCTTTTTCTCCTTTCAGTTTTCTATGTTTCTAAGTCTCAGTGATGCACATCAGGTTGGTAGCTATTCATCCACAGTGGAAGGTCTTACTACATATCAACCTGGTTCTCTTGAGTAATTCCTTCCACTATCCAATTGTTGTTTCTGCTAGAATTTTTTAAAATATTGACCTATAATCTGCCTTCCTTTAACTGGAATCTATTATTTTGCATCCTGTTCTATGGAATGATGGAAAAGATGTTTTAAATCTTTTGAACATCATTTTAAGATTTAAAAGCCATCCACTCAGTCTCCTCTGGTCAAGTGTACGTATTACCAGTTACTTCAGTCTCCATATGTCCCCCTTGATCTTCTCGGAACTTGTTTGTCTGAATGTATAGTATGATACTTAAAACTGAACACGAAACCCAAGTTGCAGTCTGATCAGTATAGAACAAAATGGAATTCTCTATAATGATAAAATAATTCATAATAATTGATTTATATATTTCTTATGCAGAGCGCCAATATTGGGGTTCTGATCTTGAGCTCCCTACTATAGACTTTGAAGAGGTATTGCACAGTGATGAAAGTGCATACAAGTGGTTGGTTACTCTTAAAAAGGTGGGAATTGTGCTACTAACGGGAGCTGCTATTAAACAGGGAGAAATTCTGAAGCTTGGGCAGCGCATTGGATTCCTTCGCCTCACATTTTATGGGTAAGTTGTTACATTTTTATTTTTAGAAATGATGTGGCTTTGCCTGCCATGCCTAAGCATGTCTTAAGCATAAACTTTTTGGGTAGGAGAAGAATAAGTGTATATGAATATTATGTTGCCATTTTCTTCACATTTTTGGTATTACTAGAACCAGAAATGATCCTAGTGGAGTTAAAGGCATTTTAGTTGGTCCAGAGACAGCTTCAATGTTTAGTATTCAGGTATAACACATTACAACAGCCAGCTAGATAAGAATCCTATATTGCTCTGGAAAACTATTAAGAAAGATTTGGAAATTATTTTTAGGAAATCCATTTTAATTAATGGCAATTTACCAGTTTTGATTGGGGGAAAAGTATAAATTTGATTTTTTTTGAAAGAACGCAACTTTATATCATGATTTTCCTCCCATTGACACCAGCAGAAGTTTGAGATGACATGATAAGCTTTGATTAATCTTTATTAGACATTTTTAATATCCTCAGAACCAACCCAAGAAGAAAAGCAGAGAGCAGACCTTCCTTATCTGCGCTATGACTAACATAGCTGAGCTGTAGTAATCCAGATAAAGAGTAGATGATAGCAAAACTATGTTTATTTTTATTTATTAATTGGATTTTGGTGCATTAAGCCTACAAGCAGATTTATTGTGTATTTTTGTCTTATTTTAGATGTGAAACAGCAGGAAATTATACCTGTTTCTTGGTACTTTGCCATTGAAATTTAGCAATATAATTTTGGGAGATCCAGGAACCATACAAAAATGATTTTGTCAGTCACATAGAATTTGCAGACTGCTACACATGATGTAAAGTAAATCATGGGGTTAACATTTCAGGTGAACCAGTTCTTGGCATAGAAAATTTTAACCCGCAGTGCTATAGTTAACAGTAAAACTTTTTAGAACCAGCTTCCCTTAAATCCCAGAATCTTCGATCATTTGCCCTGCAAGACTAAGAGAGTTATAACTGAAAACATTTTGAGGTCATTAAGTACTATAGATTAACCCACTGACATTTTCATTTTCCCATTTTGTATCCTGGATATAATTAAAAAGAAATTTACTTTAATTATGGTAAGGTCTGCTTTCTCCCAAAATGTGCATATTGGCACACTAGCCAGTAGTGATAAGTGACCCTGTGGATTATTAATAAAATTTGTATCTCCATTGAAGAAATTACATCCATCATTCAAGGTCTCCACCTGCAATAATGGTATTAGACTTCAAAGTCTAACTGTGTAAAACTAATTATATATCTCTGATCAGGGCCATTGATTTCCCAACCATGGTGTCTTATCTTGCCCATCCTATGTTTCAACTTATTTCTCTTGTTAGTCTTACAACATCTATTCAGAATTTGTTGCTATGGTTAATATGGGTTTCAGGAAGCTTCATTTTAAATGCTGATAATATCCTTTAGAAATGTCACTGTTTAATTGAAATGTGCAGTAGAAACATATTTTCCAGTTTGTTGAGAAATAGGTTTATGCAGGAACACTTTTTATCATGGTCACAGTCACAAGCACATTTAACTTTCTCAACAGAAAGGGTCTTGTAGAAATGCCGAAACTATTTTGTGTGACTTTTATTGTCATTTATAATTTTATTTATTTATTAAATTTATGGGCCACCCATCTTACCACATGGTAAACACTGGGAGGCTTACAATATTAAAATGGTTATACTGGGGAGTCTTTTGAGTTAGACAAGCTTGGAATTTTAGCTTTTGTGGTAGGATTATCATATCTGACTGCCAAAATCCAGATTATTATTACTAGATTTTTAGTCTACCTTTTCTTCTACATAACTTAAGATGGCAAACAGGCCTAATACTCCTGCCTCTTAATATCCCTACAATAATCCTGTGTGATGGGTTGAGCTAAGAAGGAGTGATGGACCCAAAGTTACCCACATGGCTTTTATGCCGAAGGGAGGCCTAGAATTCACTGTCTCCTAGTCTATAAACCAGCACTTTAGCTACTATTAGATTACTAGGACATGGCAACAAAGAGAAAACTCTGTTTAGTGAAACAAAGTGGTCATTTGGATGTTTGTTATCCAAATAATGGCAGCTTTATCTGTTGATTTAAAAACACATTAGCTGTGTCTGTTTGCCATTTTAATAATGTCCCCAAAATCTGCACGTCTAGAGTAGACTCTCACATTACAAGAAAAGGACAACATGAAAATTATTTAGGGAATCTCTCCATTAGGCTAGCAGATACCCAGTATTTCTAATGCCTCATTTGAGCACTATTATAACAGTTATGCATTCAATGACCTACTGAAAAACTACAAAACCCAGCATATGCAAAGGCTTCCAGCCAATAAGAACTGTTAATATTTCCCCCTCTTTTGTTTCAGATAATATCCATTATTCTTGTTAGAAACCAAAATTTCTCCACTTCTTTTTCCTCTGTCGGAAACTATTAAAAACAAACAGGAGAAAGTGATTACATATACACATTCCAAACCTTGACTAGAAGATTTACATTCCTTTCAGATTAGAACACAAAAGCAACATTTGCATACACCCAGCTATGTTTTTAATGCAAGGTGATATGGAAGCTCCATTTGCATACACTGAATTGGCTTAGCCAGTCTTATCCAAATTCGCACTCTGCCCAGACAATTCCCAGACAATATAGAGATTGATAATCCATGGTTGGAAATGGCTAGTACAGACAGTCTCCTACTTACGAACTTTCAAGGAAGCTCAAAACTTTTTACAAACTTTTGTAACTCCAACCTAGAAGGTCCTGGAAGGTAGAAGAAGGCAGCAAAAGCTTCATTTATGGCAACCTCAAGTCTATTGTCAAGAAGACTGGCTGTGGCCCATTCCTAGGATGCAGGCCCATTCCTCTCTGAGGGGTGGGAAAAAGTCACCAGGTTGGGCAGGTGTTTGCTCGATAGCATGGAGAAGAGGGGGAAAAAGTCAAGCGACCAGGCAGACAAAGAGGCTTGTGACTGCACAAGAATGACTTAGAATACCTTTATTGTCACTTTGAATGTAAACCAATTGGCATACTTTAAAATAAAATTTGGTTGCATTACAGTTCTCAAAGGGTCACAACCTCCAATATACACTACATCAACATGACTATATACATATGTAGGTCAAGGTGTGTTCGGGTCTTTTCCCGTGTAAGATTAAGAGTATCTTGGCAACATTTCGGCAAGGTCCCACTCGCCATCCTCAGGCTGGTGCTTTCAGCTTCGTGCCATTGCAAGGAGTGTGTGATCGGAGCTGCCGTCTCTCTATAAATACTGGTCGGGGGGGGTGGGCTGGTGTGCTGGGCTGGTTGGCTGCACTGCTGCCTCTTGATTGGTTGATGGAGTTGATGTTGGTATAATGGGCTGTATGATGGCCTTGTGGGTTTTGTTGTGGAGATATCCTGGATCTTGTGCTGTAATCTCCTGGGTCGGACAAACCAACAGAAGAATAAGTGCACACATTGAAGAACACAACTCAATCAAAAAAGAAGAACTGACCTCTTCCCTGGTCCAAAACCTCAAAGCCACATGACATGAGATTGACTTTAAAAATACCAGAACTATCGCCAAAACTGAACACTTCAACAACAGAATAATCAGAGAAGCCATAGAGATAGAAAAATGCCCACACAGCATGAATAAACGAGATGATACCTCCCGCCTACCAGCCATTTGGAAACCCGCCCTCACTAACCAACAAATACCTAACATGAAGAATGACACCAGACCCACACCCACGAGGGCCACACAAGATGCTACCACCACACCTCCACACAGAAAGCAGACTCATACCCACACAGATGATGAGACATGACCACAGACCAGAAGCCATACCGTAGCTGCATCACTACGCACTTCAAACCCCTCCGACCCATGCATGAAGCGAATGGACGTCCACCATGAAGATGTTCGTGGCACGACCACGAACACGAAGCCAAACAATAGGATCATAGCTCACCAGCTCAAATCCCCCGGCAACTAAGACTAACCTGAGCACAACCAAGCCCCCACCTGAACAGAACACACCCCCAGCCAATCAGAACCCAGCCAACCCCCCCAACCAATCAGAACACAGCCAAGCCCCCACCCAATCAAGTCACACCCCCACTAGCAATTAAAAGGAAGAAGCAGCTGCAAGCTCACATTACTCCGAGAAGCACAAAGCTGAAGACACAAGCCTGAAGATGACGAATGAGATTTCGTCGAAATGTCACCAAGACACTTCCAATTTTACACGGGAGAAAACCCGAATAACCAAAGATCCATATATACATACATACATACATACATACATACATACATAGCATTCAGCTTTGTTCAGGTATTTTCCCACATCATTGTAGTTGTGCTTTTAAAGCTGTAGCAATGTTTCGGCAGAATCTCATCTGCCATCATCAGGCTTCTGATTGTGTCCATCTATCATCAGAAGCCTGATGATGGCAGATGAGATTCTGCCGAAACGTTGCTACAACTTTCAAAGCACAACTACAATGACGTGGGAAAATACCCGAACAAAGCTGAATGCCATACATGTGAGTACCCGCAAAAACTTAAGAGAACATACATACACACACACACACACACACACATACATAGATATTTTATGACACAGAGAAACAACATAGTCTAGTTTGGATGTATACATGTACATGACTCCAAAACTGAATCTTGCGAGTTCATCATTTGGATGGCATAAGGAACAAAGTTGTTACAGAATCTGGTAGTCCTGCTAGAAATACTTTGAAACCTACTCCCAGAGGGGAGCAACAGGAATAGACCATGAAGTGGGTTTGTGGGGTCTCTAACAATGCTTTGAGCTCTAAGCACCTGGTGCTTATAAGCAATAGCCTGAATAACAGGAAGCAAGCTTCCTATAATCTTCTCAGCTGTCCTTATCACTCTCTGTATAGGCTTTCTATCTGAACCATTGCTACCACCAAACCAAACAGTGATGCAGTTTATTAAAATACCCTCAATCATGCCTCTGTAAAAAATGGCCAGAAGTGAAGGAGGAAGAGGTGCTCTCCTCATCCAATGCAGGAAATGCAGACACTGGTTTGTACATTTTACTAAGGGTGATGTGTGGAGGGACCAGCTCAGATTGTTAGTTATCTGCACCCCCAGACACTTAATAATATTAAGGGACCTGGGGCCAAGGATCTCCCGTCACTGGGAACCCCCACCAAATGCACCTCATTTTTTTTGAAGAATGGCCGGGTAAAGGGTGGCCTACTGCTCAGTGGTGGTATTCAGCCAGTTCGCACCACTTTGGGCAAACCAGTAGCAAGGATTTGGCGTGGGTTGCCGAACAGATAGTAACTTCTGGCTGGCCATGCCCCCGACCTGGTTGCTGCTCGCTCGCTTGTCCCACCCGCCCAATGCTCACTCACCCTGCTCGCCTGACACTAGCCCATGCAGTCACTCCTTAAGGTATTTCTTCTTTTTCCTCCTCCTGACAATCACCTGTTCTTACAATCAGCTGGAATTCCCCTCGCTTACTTACTGCTTCACCCAGGAGGCTTCCCTGAGGCCCAAGAAGGCAACCCCACTCCATTTTTTGCCTTCCTAGGCCCCGGGGAGGCCCCAAAATGAAGGCTCAGTTTCTGCCTTTCTAAGCCCTAGGGAAGCCTGGGAACTAAAACGTTCCCCCAGGAGGCTTCCCTGAGGCCCAGAAGGCCCCAAAACAAAGCATGGGGGAGTGCTGCATGCCCCCTTCGGCGGAATTTTCTGCCTTCCTGAGCCCTAGGGAAGCCTTCTGGGAGCAAAAACGCCCTCCCCCCAGGAGGCTTGCCTGAGGCCCAGAAGGCCCAAAAAATGGGGGATGTGCTGCAAAAAGAAAAAAGCCACGTCTACCTGCTCACATGGCCACACCCCCTAGCCATGCCCACAGAACTGGTAGTAAAAAATTTTGAATCCCACCACTGCTACTGCTGTTCATAGAATCCAGACCAACCAGTGTGTACCTTAGTCCTCTGCCTATGGGTCACAAAGGATGCAGCACCTGATGGTCTTGTCAATGGCCTTTCCCCAATGACAGTCCCCATGGAACAACTCTAAGCCAGGCCCTAGAGCCGGTGGCCAAAGCTGCAGTGGATCTATGCCGGAAAGGATTTCTGGACCCAGAACTGGTCTCCCTTCACTAGCTGGGAGGATGCATTCTTGGCCATCCCCTACAAGCAAGGGGTAAGAGGAAGTCAAGGCATTTGCTGGTGCTTAGAAGGCACGAGGGTTAGGGTTAATCCGCAATTGATCAGGTGGAGAAGAAGAAATGTGGGTTAAGTTATGTAAGGTAAGAACTGTACCATGCATTTTTTAATATATGTTTGATTGTACTTATGAACCAAATGGACTGACAAACAGCATCTTAGAACATAACCTGTTCATAAAAGGATTGTTTGTATGTTGAGGACTGGAAGAATATGTACATCCAAATTCACTCTAATGTTGAGAACTAATAACGTAGAGTTTTTTTATCTCTCATTTGTCATGTAGTTACTAATGGAGAGGAAAAGTGGTTGTGAATAATTGAAGGAAAATCACTACATCTTCATCCCTTAGGCAGAAATGGTTTGTTATAAACAATAAAATTGTAGAGTTCTCTATGGTATTCCACAATTAAACCCCGAGCTACAGATATTTTCTTCTATTGGAACAATTAAAATTGGAAGTCAGAGCTGTTTGTGGAATCTATGCAGAAAAACACTCTCGAAAATAGAGAATAAGCCATTATGCTCCAGCAGAAGATAATTGGCACTGGATATGCATCTCATGTTGCATTTTCACCATGAAGTAAAAGGCCATTTTGAAATAGCCTCTCTTTTTTTCTGGTGATTTCAGGAAAAACTCAAGTCTACTAACATTAAAAAAAAAACCATATTAAGCTACACAAATAAAGGGAAGGAAGGAAAGAAGGATAGTTTTTACGGTATCCTCCCTTGCATTTAGAGAAAAATATACTGTTTATTTTATAATTCTGTCTCATTCGTACAAACCCCCACACCCATACATGCACAGAGAGAGGGGGGAAACCAATTACAAAATGGTTTAACTACTTGGGGTTGAGTTAATTGACTATGACCAACCAAGTTAAGCTATACTGAAATTCCCACAAAAGAGCAAGTTAATGTTTGTTAAATAGAAGAGTTTGTTACAAGTTAAAAATAGCAAAGCAGTGGTTTGGAAAAATTATTTCTGCCAGTTGACTGTAACGGATAGTGAATATGTGATGAATTAAGCAGGCAATGTTCAGCAGAGGATTAGCCCAGTGGGTGGGGGGGACGAGGAGCAAAATGCACTGAATGAAGTCTGTGTGCAACAGCATAAAATAAAATGATGTGAAAAGGGCTGAAATTTAAAGTTTCAGGGAAGAGGACGGTGAAGTTTTTTTTTTTAACACCCAAAAGACTATATCATCCTGCACCTCTCTTTCTTAGGTAGAATGGAAGTTTCAATTGTATGGTAATTACACACGTTCATTTCCTTCAGGATGAGAAAGTTACTGAGAACTTTATAATATTTCTGTATCATGGCAAAGTTGTACATCTCCAAGGATTGCATATGAACACCATGCTGTAATTCAGTGTCCCTCATACCATCTTCAGTATGATGAGGTTCAATATTTGGAGCATGGACTACTTTTCCAGCCAAATCCTGGACAACCTTGAGTCATTATTCTGTTATGGATACAACTTAATTGAAGATTGCATACTTGTATAGTTTTTAACTGTGGCATACTGACTGGAACCTTTTTAGATCTAAAAGATATCTCTCTGGTTTTAGTTATGCTACAATACATGACCTGCATAGTTTTGAAGGAAAAAAAGACACAAGCACTTATCAACATGTACAAAATCTTTTCTGTATCTAATTGAGCACACTTTGTTGTATTTGAAACTGATTTCTTCAGTGTGTGAGGATGCTTTTTAAAAATTGTATCAGAATCCTTTTGACATTTGAACCTTAATTACTAAGCCACAAAGATTTGAATTATTAATGTATTTCTTTAAATACAATGAATTTAATAGACTTTTAATGATCTTTTTTAGAAGGAATTTATTTATTTTTGGGGAAAAAATTAAACAATTATGCCATGTTTAGTTTACAGCTGTCATCTAACATATCTAAAAGAGGCAAATACTATAGAAATTTAAAGAGCGTTTGAATAAGACAGATGTAAATAATTTTCAAGTAGTGAACTAATAGAAGACCCTATAAATGAAAGGGACAGAAATTAACTAATACAAACACATTTGCATTATAATTACTATGAATGTCATTGATCATTGTAGCCTACTAAATCAAAATTCATCCATAATTTCTTAAATTTTGATCAATAAGTTGTCTGGGCTTATCATGTTGTGCAAACTGATTTATGGCTTAACATGACATGTAAATCCAGTGAATTGTGCTAATTGTTACAGAATTACTAACTTTATATATCTGTAAGCCGTTGCCGGTTAAGCCCCTGGCAGATTGCTTAAGCAAGTTACCTCTTCCTGAGTTGTTTTTCTCTGCAGTGGCGCACTACCCTAAAGAATGTTAACTCCAAATTACAAAGCTCAGCTCATCACAATATTTGATGGTTAATATGCACTTTGGTTCAAAATAATTTTTTTTAATTATCATTTATTGCCATTGCATTTACAAATGATTGCTAAAAAAGTCCCTAAACTAGGATCGGATGTACTTCAAATCCATATTGTCAGCCTTTCTCAAAGTATACAGCCTTTCTCATTCCTTTGCCAACCCAGTTCCAGTTTGTTCTGTTCATGTTTTATCTTCCTCACCTATATATAGGATTCACATGAAGACAATGGGATGTTGTGGGATTCCTAGCATCTTCAACAACATGATGTGACTGACACAATGAAGGAGCTTTCTTATAATCAGAGCAACACATATACTAACATACATACATATATATATATATATACTATTTTTTTTGTCTTCTTTGACTTTGCAGTTATATAGTATTCATCAGCTTTAATAGCTCTTGTTCCAACCCTTTTCTAAAACCAATTTGAACATTTCCCTTTCTACACAGAACTGTAATCTGTGTTGGACAATCCTAAGCATTATTTTGTCAGCAGGTGACATTAGGGATATTGCACAGTAGTTTGCACGCACTGTTACATCACGTTACTATATTGCAGTAAATAGATTGACATCTTTCAATCTGTACCATTCTCCAAATTTATTTGAAATATCCTCATAAAAATGTTTATTGATTATTATTTTTGTGCTTGTCATATTTTTGTGGCCTGTAGCCTTCTGATTTGGCAATGACTGGAATGTTGATCTGACTTCATCTTCTAGTATTAGAATTTCTTGTAAATAGGGAGTATTTTCTAATGTATACTGGATATGGACAAATGTACTGTACAGTATTTCAGTATATTTCATCTTTTTTGGATTTTCTTGGAATTGGTTATTGGCATCCTTTAGCATGCCAATTTGAGATTGGAATCGCCTTCAGTGTTCAGAAAAGAAAAACAAATAGACTATTATAGTAATTAGCGATGCAAAGCATTGCCAGTTAATTGTTTACATGGATGAATACAAATAAGAGCTCATGGGATATTATTTTTCAGGAAAGGGAATTTCAGATCTAAATATTCCTTTCCAGATGTGTTATTAGTTGCTTTTCCCCTAAAGGAAAGAGCAGTTTTGCAGGGTGAAGAAGAAGAAGAAACTCAAAACCCACTTCTCTCTTTTCCCTGCCACCTGTGATTGCAATCATTACCCTCCCCATCTTAAATGATGATTATCTGCATTTTTTAAGTTTAATAAATAAAATGATAAAAACAGTGAGGCATTGGTACTTTAATGTGGATATTAATTTTATGATTATACAATTTTTGGATCTGTATAATTTGCATCTAGATTTTACAGGCAGATTATTATAGTTTTATTTTTCCTTTCTTGTTCCTTATAAAGGCCCACTTGGCAAGTGCAAAACAAATTGGATGCCAACAATGTGGCGTACACAACTGAGAAGCTAAGTTTTCATACTGATTACCCTGTTCTACAATCTCCACCAGGGGTAAGAGAAACATAAAAAATAAGGCAGCAGTAAAATGGGTGCTAATAGCATAGTAATATGTAAAATATTTTGGTTAGCCATGTATTATGTTATATGAGAGCTAGTTTGGTGCAATGATTAAAGGCACCAGAGTAGAAACTGGGAGCCCATGAATTCTATTCAGGGAAGACTAACATAAAAAGAAGTAGTTTCAAAGAAAATGTAAAACACACCAACATTGGCATCTGTGTCAGAATTTCCCATAGGACCCAGCTTACAACTGTGTTGTGAACAATAGAGCCTCTCCCGAAGGTCCTGAATGTTTATATAGATAATGGTATTATTTGAGTTAATCGGATTCCAAATTGTTTAGAGCTTTGTGAATAAACACAAACATCTTGAACCTGGCTCATTAACACAGTAGAACTCAGACATGCTTAATCATCTTCCTAGTGTTTTCTGAACTAATTGCAGTGCTGAACTATTCCCAAATTCACAAAGCACATCATAATAATCCAATTTTGAGACGCTCATTGCAGGAAATCTAATTGTCAAGCTCTCAAAGTCCATAAACAGACAATTTATGAAATGCTGATAGTAATAGGTAACTGTGCCTCTAATGAAGAGGACAGATTCAGGCTGCATTAAGAGAGGGACAGAATCAAGATCACATGAAGTGTTAATACCACTTTATGATGTCTTGATGATACCACACTAGGAACACTGCATCCAGCTATGGTCATCACAATGTAAAAAAGATGTTGAGACTCTAGAAAGAGTGCAGAGAACAACAACAAGGATGATTAAAGAACTGGAGGATAAAACATATAAAGAGTGGTTGCTGGAATTGGGTATGTCTAGTTTAATGAAAAGAAGGACTAGGGGTGACATGATAGCAGTGTTCCAATATCTCAGGGGCTGCCACAAAGAAGAGGGAGTCAAACTATTCTCCAAAGCACCTGAGGGGAAGGACAAGAAGCAATGGGTGGAAACTGATCAAGGAGAGAAGCAACTTAGAACTAAGAAGAAATTTCCTGACAGTTAGAACAATTAATCAGTGGAACAACTTGCATCCAGAAGTTGTGAATGCTCTAACTGAAAGGTTTTAAGAAGAGATTGGACAACCATTTGTCTGAAATGGTATAGGGTTTCCTGCCTGAGCAGGGAGTTGGATTAGAGGACTAGAAGACCTCCAAGGTTCCTTCCAACTCTGTTCTTATTCTATAAATTTAGTAAATTATGAAAAGTACAACCCATTGAGAACAAGTAGTTCTTGATTTGGGAGCCATTGGTTCACAAGATTCCACTACAAGTGAACTGATCATCCAGTTCACTCCTAGGCTCAAATGCTTCTCTTGATAGTGGACAACCTCTTCTGATTTAAATGATATCTTGCTCTTAGTTCCCTAATTTCGGTACAAATAGCTTCAAATAAATTTTAAATAGCACTGGTGATACAATAGCATTTGGTACTAGATCTTACTTCCAGATATACCTTTGCTTCTGCCGATTCATAAAAATGTATGAGGTAAGCAACCTTGTACTCATTCAGACATTTTACAACAGCTACAATATTTTGCAGTTCACCATAGTTATAGGGCTGATGAGACCAAAACATCTGGAGAGCGCTATCCTGTATTGTTTGAGGTTAGTATTTCTCAATTCCATTGTTATCAGCTCAGGTGAAGTCACAGATGCACACAGTTTGTAATCTATAGTGTTATCTATAGTGTTAATTTATGTCACATACCCTGAATTTTTAGCTGACAAACCTATTCATGTATTGTGTAAGAGTGAAAAAAGATAAAGCTCTGCAACATTGCATTAAGAAGATTCTAAAGCAGGGGTGTCAAACTCACGTTGTCACAGCAACGTCATGTGACGTATCAGGACTTTTTTCCCCTTTGCTAAACGGGTGGGGGCGTGACCAGCACGTGACGCATCCAGCCAGTGGGCCAGGAGTTTGGCATCCCTGTTCTAAAGAAATGCAAAGTTGACCTCATTTAAGTCTCCTAATAGAAAACAGGGAAATCTGAAAAGAAATCTGAAATCTACACATGCAGCAGTCAGAGCCCTAATTCAGTATAATCATTTTATTTACATTTATAAGAAGTTCAAATGGTGCAAATTGGCCTTTATGAATATCAATTCTGGTGAGGTTTACACTGATTCCAAGTTATTTTCTACATAAACACTTTAAATCAACCATGTACTAAATAACATTCATCTCAAAAGGCATCTGTTACTGTAATAACTATACAGTGTATTGCAGAGAAATGCTTAGAATTTCTCTGATGGATTCATAGGAGAAAATCCATGATGTTTCAGTGGAGAAAATGTATACGTATTTCTGTTCAGTATTTTAATAACCTACTGAACTTCTAATACTGCCCATATTTCTGCCACTCTTGCTGTATTTGCAGAGATGGGGAGATTAATGTGGTATGTGTGTTGCTGTAGGAAATTTTTATTCAAGGCCTTCAAACAATCTGTGGTATCATACTTTTGATAGATTAAGCAGATCATGTGCTATTAAATAGATGCCATTTTTTCAGATTTGGGAATTACCTTGAAAATTCATTTAGAGGTTGTACAATACATATGGTATGGCAATCAAGGGGAAGTTTTTAAATGGAAAAGAAAAGAAAGTTCATATTTTAATTTATGCCAAGAATCACACCAAGATATTTCTTCCAAATGCTTGTTAGGGTTTTTTAAAACATAGTTTTAAACAAAAAGTTTTGCCAGCAATCTTTACAGTCTCTTTGTGTTTCTAGTTTTGGGATTTTTAAAGAAGCGTGTCATGTTATATAATAATGAGACTTCTAAAGACATTTATGATATAAAATAAAATGTAGAGCATAATGCTGAACTTATAATAATAACCTGATGTTAATTTGTTCTAGATTCAGTTTCTGCATTGTATAAAACAAACTTCTACTGGAGGGGAGAGTGAAGTTGTGGATGGATTTCATGTAGCCAATAGGTTTAAGGAACAAAATCCTTATGCCTTCAAAATCTTGACCTCTACATTTGTAGATTTCACAGACATTGGAGTTGATTACTGTGATTTTGCCATGCAAGCCAAACAAAGAATTATAGAGTAGGTAACACTGAATGATGTGATATCTTTTTATCTGATGTTGTCTAGGTGCTTATTCCTGAATTGCAATCAAAAGTATCTTTTTGCTTTATTTATTTAGCATATTTGTATGACCATCTATCTCACTGGTGAACCCTGGGCAGTCAGTTTTATTGAACAAAATAAAAAATGTTAAGGCTATGCCTGCCACCTTGTGGACAGGAATACAAATCAATTTTTTAAAAATGTGTGCGCTATTCATATTATCATATTGAGAGAGTGGATATGGATGTATATGATATGATATGACATTATTGAAATCTGCATGTAATTTTGGTTTTTTTTTTGTTATTAAAGCCCTCAGCAAAGCACTTTAACAAAGTACAGCTGGGTGGGAAAAGGTTTATAATGGGCAAATGGTTGGTTTAATTTCTCCTACATTCATTTTAGAGAATTTTTTTTAGAGATAAGACATTTTTCGTATTAAAAGAGTTGATAACAATCCAATGTCACACTAAACATATAATTGTATAAACCATAATGAAGCCTCAAAATTTAAAAGCAAAACACTTGTCTCTGCCAGGATGAACTAAATTTATCTAGTTTTGCTTTCATTTTAACTTTTCCCTAATCTCAAATTTATAAGGAAATTTTGGGAAATTTAATTGCTTTATTAAGATGAACCGGTCAGATTCTCAGTTATTTACCATGCAGCGGTTTATTCATTTTAAGTCTCATACTTTATTCATTATAAGGTTTATAAGCCTAACCCATTTAAAAAACCAGCGAATGAAGAATGGTGTTATGTAAAACTGTTGAAAAATTTGAGGATAACCTGAATTGTTCTCTCATTTCCCAACAGTGTAGATGAAAAGGGCCAAGTGGTTCGTATCAATTTTAACAATGCAACCAGAGATACAATATTTGACATACCTGCTGAAAAAGTAAAGCCATTTTATGCTGCTCTTAAAGACTATGTTGGTCTCCTAAATAGCACGGATTATAAATATTCATACAAAATGAAGCCAGGTAGGCCTGGATGAAATGGTAATCAGTTTTTTTTTTTCCAGTTGATGTAAAAAGTCTTTCAGTAGAAATAGGAAGAAATATACAAACACTTCTTCAGAAAATTCTCCAACTATTAAGGGTGGATTTTGCAGACACAAGGGAGGGCTCCAAGCAAAATATGCTGTTCTGTTCTATAAATTTGTATCCCATGTCATTCTTTCATTATTTTTTTTATTAGCTAGAATAATAAAATTCATTATTTACTTATCTATGGAGATTTTCAAGCATCCTGGCCATGGTTGTCCCAAAGAACTAAAGAAGTTTCTTGGATGAGAAGCCAAATTTTTTTAAAAAAAAAAACTGAAGAAATTCAGTTGCTTTCTGGAAAAAGCACCTTTGGGAGTTCTTTTTTACTTAGTTGTCAATCCTCCCCAGCTTTTAGGAGAGAGCCAGGGAAAGGAATGGGCAAAGGAAGTAATCTGCCTTCAGAAGTTGTGGGAGCTTCACCACTGGAAGCTTTCAAGAAGAGACTAGACTGCCATCTGTCAGAAATGACAGGTGTCTCCTTCTTGGGGGGGGGGGGGTTGGACTAGATGACCTACAAGGTCCCTTCCAACTCTGTTATTCTGTTATTTTGTTACATAAATATTTTCTTTTTTTGAATACTTATCACATGCAGTGCTCATTTTTCTTAAAATGCATTCTGAAGTGATAGTGGAGATAGAGAGATGGGCGCACATATATACAAATGCATCTGAAGCAAATTTCTCCAAATAGCAATAGCACTTAGACATATATACCACTTTATAGTGCTTTACAGCCATCTAAACAGTTTACAGAATCAGCATATTGCCCTCAACAATTTGGCTCCTCATTTTACCCACCTCAGAAGGATGGAAGGCTGAGTCAACCTTGAGCCTGGTGAGATTTGAACTGCCAAATTGCAGGCAGCCGGCAGAAAGCCGGCAGGTAGCAGAAGTAGCCTTCAGTACTACACTCTAACCCCTGCGCCACTGTAGCTCATTTGCATATTAAGTGCATTTGGCAGTGCCTGGCCTACTTTGGTTGAAAACGATTAGTACTTCAGTATTTTGCACTTATGTCAGAAGCACCGAGGCACTTCTAGGTTGAAAAATTAACCAGTGACATCACTGTTGCCCTGAGAATGCCACCTGGGGGTCGTTTCATATCCCCGGGAGGAGCTGGAGTGAAGGACGAGAGCTTAACCCGCCCCATGGCAGCTCTCAGTTCTCAAACATGGGCTTGCTAGCCTCCTCCCCAGCAGCCCAACCACTCAAGCCACCATGCTCCTAATACTTCAGTAAGTGGTCATGAGAGAACTTGAATGCTATCAGCCAGCAGCCCCCAACATTTTGGCCACTAGGGACCAGTTCTGTGGAGAGAGGTTTTTCCACAGACCAGAGGGGGTGTTTTTTCGTATGCTTCCTGCATGCTGTTTGTGTGGCCTGGTTTCTGGCATGCATGGACTGGTGCCGACTCATGGACCAGGGGTTGGGGACCCCTGCTATAGGCTACACTGAGAGGTTAGAAAAAAAATCTCAGAAGAAAGCAATGACAAACTACTTTTATTTATTTTGAAAAAAATTGCCAAGAAAACTGCATACCAGTGCAATCATCACAAGTTAAGCTGTATTTAGAGAATTATTGGCTTCAGTAGTTCCAAATATTATACCAGTAAGCCTTTCTGTTCCATCGTATCTCTAATTAGTATAAATGTATTTACCACAGATTTTATTTTAAAATAATTCTTTGCCTTCTTTCTAGGTGACATAGTGGTATTTGATAATTGGCGTTTACTTCATGGTCGGCAGAGTTACCAGGCAGGAGCAGAAATATCCCGTCATCTTGAAGGAGCCTACGCGGACTGGGATGTAGTAATGTCAAGGCTCCGAATTTTACAAAAGAATGTTCTGAGGAGACAGTGCCTTTGAAGCTTGGACTAAGGAGAACTCTTAATCTTTGCTGCATGATTTTTCCATAAAGGAAAATGAACCTGATATGTTTTCAGTTTATTCAAGGCATTCCTGAATAAGCTGGGTATTGTCTATCCTGTTGGATATGCAGAAAATCTCTTAAACAAAGAATAACTTGGGTTCTTACAAGTAGTCTTCAACTTATGTCTGATTGCTTAGTAACCATTCAGAGTTACGACATACACAAAAAAAGTACTGCCCCCTCCCCCTTGTGATTATATTTTGGGTGTTCACAACCTGCCCAAATTTGCAGCCATTTGAAGCATTTTGCAGTCATTTGATCACTATTTACAATATTTTTTGCCAGGAACTTGTGCTTATCTCTAAATCATTCTTTGCAGACAATTAGTTCATTTAACGACCTTGGCATTTGCTTAATGACTGTGGCATTTGCTTATTGACTGCTTAATGACCTTGGCATTTGCTTAATGACTGTGGTAGATTCACTTAACAACATACTGAGTTTAGCACAATGTATGAATTATTTTAATTATGGTTCTTTCTAATGATATCTATCATATGAAATGGAATAGTGCCTTGACTATTTTTCAAAAGTGACTTAAAAGAACTAAGATTAATTTCTTTTACACAAGAGTAGAACTTAGTAAAGAACTTAGTCCAGTGGATACTATTGCTGTGATTATTATTATTTTTTTGAAAATTTTATTGATTTTAAAAACAAACATAAACAAAACAAAACATAAAAACATAAAACATCTTTTTTGAAAGCAACTTGATCCTGGGTTACATCTCTTCGTACAGGCACAAGTTCAAGTTCATGCTCATTTTTATATACCATTCCATATCTCATTACAATTCTACATTTTCTATATAGCTTCTCCCCTCTTTTAACTTTCTTAATTTTATTTTATTTATTTCATCTCGATTCAAACTGTTATATTCTTTGTCTGACCTGTTTCAGCTGTCTATTATCTTTTCTCATTAAACAAAATTTCTCCTGTAATCACTGATTGGAGTATGACACCTTTATATCTTTCCCCTAAAATTATAACACTTAATATAATACATAACTTCCATTCGGATTCTGCTTGGTACATTCTAAAACTACACACTGTATTTTAAAAAAAAGAAAAAAATATAAATATATAATATAATTAAAACAACAATCCATACCAATTCAATTCTATCGTTAATATTCATTTAACTCTTAAACATTTTACACATTTCTTTTCAAATAGGTATCATACTTCTATGGGAACACTTATAACCTTTCCATAGTTACTTCCCCCCCACTTCACTTATATTTTATAAAACACTGAATAATTAAAATGTTCCCATTCCTTCCTAATTCAATTCTCTCAATTATTTCATTTCATTTATTTTGTTCACAAAAGTTTCACTGAATTACACTGACTATTTTATCCCACTTTTTAATCATATGTTGTTTCCAATTTTCTAACATTATTTCTAATACAAATATAACAATACAATCTTATGTACCTTTGCAGAATCGCTTTTTCAGTTAAATTTTCACCCATTATCTCTGAATAAGTCCTATTCCTTTACATCTTGCTTCAAACCTTTGTAACTTCTCTTCCTTCCTCCCTTGCTTCTCTCTCCCCTTTTTACCCCCTTGTCTCTCCACCTCCATTTCCCTCTTCTGTATTCCCCTTTTCTGTTGCTTTCTAACATTATATCCACTTTTCACATTATTTTTCCCTTTTGGGGCTGCTTTTTTGGGTCTTAAATTCTCCACTCTCTTCCCCCCCCCTTTCCCCTTTCTTCCCCAGATAAAGTTACTTGTTCATCAAAGATGGCTTCTTCTTTGTCCCAATCTTCTTGTTGCGCAGTCTTTTCTTGTAGCTTCTCGTAGGTACAGATCGCCATTTCTAAAAATTGAAAAATGGAGCCAAAAGAGCCCTTCCCGTTCCTCTTCTTTATATTTTTTTAAATTCCATTTTCAGTTCATCCACAAGTGATGCCATTGTAGAATTTTTTTAAACAACCACCCAATTGTTTTTAGTCATTCAAATATAATTTCCAGAAGTCCCAAAGTCACCAAGCAATCCAAATACACACAAGCTGTTCTTTTAACATTCTTCTTTTTTCACTTTCTCTTCCTGGAGTTACTATTTAGTTGAAAAGTTCCAGTTAAAATGTATCTTTTAGAAGTTGCTGTGATTAATTTTTATGGTGCTTTTTCTTTCTCTTGACTTGCAGCAAACAATTGCAAGTGGGAATATCTTAACCCTTTATTGAACTGTCATTTATTCCCCCAATTCAATTCAATTCAGTTTATTGTTCTGACCAATGGTTGTAACAAATAAATATGCACAAAGTATTGATAAAATATTAAAATCTGCAAAAATCAGTAAAAAGCATTAAAGCAGTGTTATTGTAGCAAATACAATATTAGTCTTAGGAACTTTTCATAAAATATTGTCTCTTGTTTAGCAGCAGCCCATGCAAAGCTTGCTAATTTCTGTAGCATTGTCTTCTTATCTAAATTCATTAGATATTTGATTTTATATGTATCAGGACAAAATAATTTTCTTACCAGGAAGGAAGGGATCCTGAAGCTTTCCAGGTGAATAGAGCAATACAATAACTAATAGATAAAATATTCTATAATCTCCTTAGAGCAAGGGCAGAAGCACATAATATATGGGTAATTGAGAAATCAGTCCTCTCTAGCTGTGTCCACCTCAGATAATGTTCACATTAATTGTTGGTTTTATGAACTATGTACCAAAAGGCGATTTTACATTGTGATAATTTAAACGAATTTCAGATATTCGGTACCCTGTTTTCAAATAATAGATTATTGTTTGCATAATTTGAATTTGGGGGAGGGAAATCCAGAGAAAAAGCAAAGGTAAGCATACAATTGGATAAAAATGTAATCCAGCTGCTGCAGGAAGGAGTGGAGAAATTCATTGGCTTCAGGAGGCACCACTTGACAAATTGGGGATCAAATTGGAAGAGAAGACTAGCCCAGTAATTAAATACTCTTACAATTTATAAATGGAACTGCAAGTTGATTGTACACAATAAATTACTATTAAGTCAGGGATCTGTAAATAGCTTATGTATTCTAATGTGGAATATATCAGTATAGTTTTGGGGTCCTGGCGATAGCTCTAATTAAATCATGAGCCTCGAGCCATGCTCCAAAAATCTCAAAAGATTTATTAGTAGCAACATGCCAGCATACCTAATTCATAGTCACCTGTGACCCTGTTTCCCCCCTCCCCCCTGGGTCTATCATAAATCAGATTCTCCCATGAAGCATGGGCCTGGTGTCATAAATCATGTTCTCCAATAAAGAATTTTCTCAACCAGAAGATCCAGTCATACTTCTTCAGATTTCCTCCCTTTCCCCCTTTGGTTATGGCAACTTGAAAACAGGAATTGGAATGTTTTACGAATTGACATATGAAATGTTCAGATAACTGACAAGATTTCCTTAAAGTTACTAAAAGTATACAACGTATATTTATTCCCACGTTGACATCTGCAGTCATCTGCCTCCATCACAATCAACTGGAAGTTTTGCACATATTTAATACAAATTAACTTATTCACACTGAGCTGGATAATTTATCACTAGAAGCCTGACTACCCTCTTCAGTTTTTGCCTTTTTTTTTTTTCAGCTACATGTCACGGTTCCAAACCAAGCCAGCAAAAGAAGAGGCCACATTATGAGCAGAACAGGTCTTTTTACTAGAGTCTTAGCTTGGCACGTGGTGAACAATACAAGTAAAAGAGTTTTTAGCCAGCATTACTGGCTTCTGCTAGTCAGCTGGCTATACAGACTCCACATGTCCCACCCTCTTGTTCCTGGTTGCTCCCAGCTGGCTCCAGCAAGTACTTTGTGGGCCTGTATCCAGCAAGTACACTTTGAGCCCAGTTGCTCCTTGGTGGTTCCTACAAGTACTCTTCAGGCCTGGATGGCTTCTGAACCAACCACAGCTGGCTTGCCTTCCTGGCTCCTTTCTCAGTGTGAGTCACATTACCCATTTGTGCCCCCATGCATCCATCTCCCTCTGCGGATGTGTGGCAACTCTGAAACAGTGCGTTGTAGCAACTTCGAATGGTGCGCTGTCTCAGACATTGACACTACATATAAAATCTATAATTTGTACTGCTTAGTGCTAGGTTTTATTGCCTATATTTTCAATGTCTCTCTCAGGAAAACTGCCATCTTAAGCACTTTCTCCAAAGTATGTTTCATGACACCACATGGTACTTAACTTATGAACAATCATGAGAATCCGGTAGTATCATTCAAATATAAATGGTTTTGAATTGTGCAAATAATAATGATAATACTTCATCTTGGAAAAATCTACAATTAGACACAGGCACACCATATCCAGAGAATAAATGGAAACCCCAAAGCACGTATTAGTCGTACAAAGGATCTTGGGCTTAGCCCTTCCAAAGGTCAGGTACGAGTATATTCCTTTAAGTATCTGGAATAGCACATAGATGGCCATTCATATCTTTCTGTCCTGGAGGTGTACATCTGAACATGGTGTGATTCAGATACGGTTTCCAAAACGAAGTCCATCAACATTCTTCTGTGTAAAGCTCTCCCTGTTAACATCATTAATTTAGCTTTTTATCAAAGCAGAACATATATACAAACAAATTCACATTGTGAAACCCATTTTTATCCTGCAAAAAATGTAAAATGTTTAAATGAAACCTGTTCAGCTTATGGTTGCACTGAAAACAAATTCTGCAATATAAACCTATCAGCCCTTCAGTAATTCTGAACTGAAATGTTCAGGTTCATTTTAGAATATAATCTCTTTTTCTTCTTATGTTGAATTCTGGAATTATACTAAAGTTTGATATTATACAGCCAAAGTTATGTAAATTATTACAAACATTGGCTTTTAGCTTTTGCTTGATTTCCAAATATTTTGGTTTTTCCATACAGACAGTCCAATGCATTAAAATGAAAATCAAATGCTCCTATTGATGTAAATGCAAATTACACTTGATGTAGTATTTTCTGAAACTGAAATCAGAATCTTCAGATTCCGTTCTTTCACTTAATTTTGGATGTAACTTTCCCCCCACTAACTTTCTAAGACTTTCTAAGAATCATTTTGTTTCATGTATTTATGCATCAGTAAAATCTAGTTTGGGAATTGATTAACAGATGGATCCATGCCTTTTTTCAAGAGACAAGAGACAAGGTT